CAACAAAAATATTCAAGTCCACTTTTTCCCATGAGAAGGCAGCATTAAGCAAAATCTAAAAAAAAAGGTGTTATATAAAAAAGGTTGATATAAAAGTGTACTATAGTACAAGCCAATGAAAACCCAGTCTAAGAAATATGGAGTGTTACCTTCATGTGCTGCTTATATGAATAGCTTGCCAAATGAAACCAGATTGGCCATATTTTAAGCTTGCTGCGCTTGCATTTTTATGCAGTTTTGTTTTGTAAGTGCTGCACCTGACTTCATATTTTTCCTTATGATAAATATGTTAGCAGCATGAATAGACCAGGAGGATGATAAATCTGTTTTAAAACTATTTTTGAGAAAGGATGCTCTAGAAAAACAAAGCAAGTATGTCTCTGATCTCCAGAACCACCTAAAATATATCTTAATATTAAATTATGACGGAGATTTTGATCACCTGTTCACTTTCAGAGCAGGTTTAGTCTATCCTCCAATACTGTATGTCCTGAATTATACACAGTATATGCTTGTGATCATTCTTCAAGAGAAATGGCTTTCTCTGGAAGAATGATGATAGGGGTAGGGATTGTAAGCACAGGGGCGGTTGTAAGGATTAACTATGAAAGTATTTCACTTAGTTCACAACACTACTTCCCCAGTGAGGAAAATGCAACAGACAATCAAGACAAACAGACTAAAAAACTATCTTTAGTCAATAACTTATAAGCACCTATAAACCATAAGCAGTTTCTTCTGAAACATCCTCATCTGTCTCACCATAATAATCATCATCATCTGGTATGGCAGCTGCATCAGCAGCCTTTCACAGGGTGGTAAAATTGGCCGAGTGCATCATTTTGTCACTACTCTTACTAGACTCCAATATCGAAATCTTGTGAGAGGCACATGTGCAGTATCATCAAAAACCTCATAAACACCAGCAGAGGCCTCTTCATACTGCTGCCATTTGGCCACCTAGCAATCACAATCTCAATTTTTCTCCCTCCTAAATCCATAATGAACTACCTCATCATCCCCAGACGTTCACTTTACAAGACAGATGCAACTGTATTCATTTTTTAACTCGAACTACCAGCTGTTTGCACAGACTAATGTGTATTGTATGCTAACATTTAATCCCAATTTGCAGTGTTTAATGTCTTAATAAAAAGGTTTTAGGTTTTATTTTAGGTTGAACACATGTGTATGTGAATATAAGAAAATAAATTAGAATATGACTTCATTTTATGCTTAAGTATCCTGATAGGTGTTAGTTTATCCTGATCAATTAGCTCCACAATCTCAGAATTAGGGCTGTAACCAAATACGAATACATTATTTTGAATGAACAGATTTTTTTTTGCCATTTAGTTGTGACTATAGGTGTGCCCTGGGACAAATCCCGCAAATTTTGCAAGACTCTACAAGACTTTGCCTTACTTCAGTTTCATGTGTGTATCATGTGATATGTGATATGATGCATCATAATTATTTTCTCTTCTAAAAGAAACCCACATTGATTAACTATATTTAAGAGCGACACAAAACTTTAGTCTCTAGTCTAGTCTCAAATAGATCTGAAAGCCACAATATTCTGCTTTCAGTGTTTCTCTTAAATAGCACTGATGGATCTGCTCTGTCATCCTCTCAACCTCCAGGATGAGAGGCTCAAATTAGACCCACATTTGTTCTGTTCTTTAGAGAAGGAGAACGCTAAGCATGCATTTATGTATGACTGTTTGATCCAGTTTCTGAAGTGTTCATAACCACGGTCCTCTCTACAAAATAATATTTGAGTGCGTGATCAGGACCAGGGTGTTATTCAAGTGTGGATGACTGTAGGCAATATCAGATGATTGTTCACCTGCACTAGATAGATAGATAGATAGATAGATAGCCTGAAATGTACAGGTGGTAACTCTAGTGATTTTACTGTGTTTGAGATCAGTAGAGAAGCTAATTGTCAGCTAGCTTTTTTTAAAATGTGCACATTAACTAGTGGGTGTCCATGCTATGATGCCATTCCCTCTGGCAGTCCTGGTCCCTGATGGCTGCTCTCTCTGGTCCAGTTGCTTATGTGTAACGATATGCAGCTTCCCTTGAAGGCTTGGCATCATAGTGCTGAAACAGATTATTTTATGTACTGTGAAAGTGAAGCATATGCTGTGTAATTCACAGGAAATTAGGTTATCAGATACAGAGCCCTACAGCTTTTCTATAAAATCTATAAAAATAGAGTTAGCTTGTTTACTGTTAGGAGAACTTCACCTCAAGCTGTTTAATTTATTAGACTGCCTGGGACTATACTCCCGGGTTGTCCTCAATAAATATGAAGTGCTGTGTGTTTAAGGTGTACTGTAGCTTTTAGAGCAGGTCATTATCCCAAATGCTGTAGAAACTGAATCAATTCAACTGAGCATCATTCAATTACTGACTATTATTTTTCATAATTTTTCATTAATTATGCAAAGCTTAGTAATATGACATTAACATAATCATTTTAATAATCTTTATTATATCACATGGAGTCAAAATGTAGTTACTGTGTTGGAAAAAAAAGTGGTTTATTACTTTACAAATATATGCCTTTGCAACAGCATGTACATGCAGTACATGTGATGATAAGAATAAAGCATCTTTCCTAGAATATTATTGGGAGATCGTTGCGATTGAGGTGCCATTTAGATCTTGTAACTCTTTTTAAAGCTCTTTTAAAAATTAAAATAAAAAAAAAATACAAAATGTCTTAAGCCATCTCAGGCAAGAGTTTCGTTTTTACAAGGGTTCTTTGCTGCCAGTGGCTGCATTTTAAGATTTTTATCATAGAATTACCAAATACACAAACTGTGGATAAGTAGCATACATGCTAATGACATGAAGACTTTTAGGACTTTGATGACATTCTATTAATAATGTTTTAATATTAATAATTTACTTTCAGTAGATAATGTGGGCGACATGGGTGTATTTTCAAATTGACCTTGTCATTAATATCACAATATCATTGGAAATAAAGGGTGAAAATGATTGAATTTTATTTTCAGATTTTATTTTTTATTTTTTAAATTCAGATGGTGCAACTTCCTTCGGAACATGTGACTTGGTAGCAGGGTAACAGGGTTGAGTGAATATTGTGGGACTAAAATATGCATTTTTCATAACCTGTAATGGATGAGTCATGGAAAAGGATGGTTCAAGCATGAGATGTTAAAAGGATTCACACATTAATGCACAAATAATACATTTTTCAAAGTATTTTAATGCTTATATTTCAAAGTAAAGCGTAGTTACAGTGGGCTGGAGCTAGTGTCTTTGGGCTACACCTGATTTTCTTGGGACTGAAAAAAGGTACTATGGGAGTTGGTCTGAACAAGATTCAGTAGAAAAGGAAGAAGTGAAGCTGGTTGGAAACATTCCCCAGCAGTGTCGACAAGCAGAAACATAATTAGAGACAAAAAGGCTAATGATAATGGGCTACGACACTTGTTAATGGATTCTCATTAGGACTATTTCTGTTCATGTCTGCAGCTGAGGAAAAAATAATGTTAATGTTGCCTTCAGGCCAATCCCTTTGGTCAAAATCAAACAGTCTTGGTTGGTTTTGGTGTTTTCCACTCCTACTGAAACTCTGAAATAACATGATCCCTTTGATCTGAGCTGTATGGCCTGAGTTGATGTCATTCCATTCATTTGTTATGAGTCCCTTTTGTTCTAAGGGCTAATGTCCATGTGTGTTGCATTCTGCTGTGCTATATTTGAAAAGTGTTGGGCAAATGTGCTAAAAATTGACACAGTGGAGCAAAAGAATGATGGGCTCAGAGTTATGTGGTGGTGATGCTGGGTAGAATATTCCTAAGTAATACAGTGAGAAAATGGCAGATTAGATTTTTGTCACAAAGAGGTGAATGGATCAGTGGATTGTTGGAAAATGGAAGAAATCAGGTTGCGGATTATAGAGGCAGGAAAACCAATAACCTGTCCTGTGCTCTTGCTCTGTATGTATAACTGTCCTTGTGTTGGGAAGACTGTAGAAAATGGAAGACTGCTGGGCATACAGTATGAGGAGTGTAGGTGAGCTTTGCTGATTTGGATTCAGCACCTGTTCTCTTCAAGCCTGTCATGCTGGGCAGTGGAATTAAATGTTTGTTTCCCTGGTGGGAAAACTACACAGAGCTACAGGCTGGTCTTGTCCATGGCTGTGCCTGTAGGGAAGGTTTGCATTGACTGTGGGGTGCCAGTGCACACCTGAGGATGTCTGTGCTATAAGAATGGGAATGAGAATTCTACTGAAAACCTTTTGTTGCTCTGCTTGGAATGAAGTATTTGTTACTCCAAGAAAAGAAAAGCCTGAGCAACATACAGAGCACACACAAAGTATAACAAAAGGCATAGAAATATTGGTAACACTTTTCTTAAAGATAGTGTTACATGATGCCTACATAAGCCTTTCATGACAACTGACAAAACAAAGCTCTTCCCCATATTGAGCCATATTTAACCAATATCGCATGAGCAAGAGTGCGGCTACTGCATATCTGCTATTCAGTATAACAGCATGATTGCAAGTGCTATATTGCTTTTATACAACAATTTTATAAGTAAGAAATTGATGGCCTCCTGATTGGTGCAACAGAAAAGCGTCCTATCTTATGGAGGTCACAAGTTCGGCTCGTGAGGATGCCACAGCCATAGTGCTTTCCTCTGAGTGGGTTATGCCACCCTCTGCATGAGCAGCAGTTCAAAAAGTTATGGGAAGCTGGATTCATGTGCCTTGGACGAAGCACATGATAGCCTTCCCTGTCCCTGGTTGGTAGTTGTCAGGTGATAGGGAGGGGAATTGGCTAAGACTAAATGAGGGAGAAAATTCTTCTTCTTCTTTTGGCTGCTCCTGTTAGGGGTCACAGCAGTGGAACATTGGTCCACATATTTGATTTTTACACCAGATGCCCTTCCTCACATATCCCTCCCCAATTTTATCCCAGCTTAGGACTGGCATTGGGAGTGGCTGGGGTTGGTTTCCTGGCCAGGAATCGAACCTAGGCTGCAGTGGTGAGAGCACCATGGCCTAACCACTAGTCCTCCAGGGAAAAAAAGAAGAAATTAATATCAAGCACCTGACATTTCGGACACAATACGGCGAAATAATTTGTTTATTTTTGTACTATGAATGGAAAGAGATCCCGTAGAAGCCATACTTGCTGATAGCCGGCTGCCTAGCTCACTCACAATGATTTGTACATTGCTGTTAAAGGTGCAACCGATGAAATTCGATTCCCTCTTTCCTTTTCATCTTTATCTGATGAGCTTTCATATTTTAACTCAGAAGTTATATTCATGAATAATGTATTGTCTGCCATATTCACTGATGATATCGCAAACTCTACTGTAGTAATGGTTTAGGTGTTGGACTGTTGCTAGAATAGGAATTTTACATGGCAAACACAGATTAGCGGGGTGACACAAACAGTGAAACGTTCCAGTGCGGTTATAGTAAATATAAGCACTCTTGGAACGCAGATTTTACAATCAAAGTAGTGGACTGGAATTAACTGTTGTATATTCAGAATTAAGTTATGTACACTTAATGAGGAGTTAATACTGAAATTGTTCACACCGGTATTCAGACCTCAGATGCAACTACAGACTTACTCACTACTTGGACAGTAGCCAAAAACAGAGCCATCTCAGTTACATGTGATTCTGACATTGGACTTAAACCCAATTCTCTTGCATGATTTTGGCTCAAGCAAGGAGCAGTAGTAAGTCCAGTGCCATACACTCAGAAATATTGCTTATTTTTGAGGACCTAATTGTATATGGCTAAAATTATGAACTACACTTACTTGGTCAACTTATCCTTTAAATTATTTTCTTTACAGAGCATGGTGAATTAAGAAAAACATGGGCATTATTTTATTAGTTTGACAAATCAAAATAGTGAATTAAAAGCATAATTTAACAGTCTGCATCACATTATGTTTTCATGACTTCAATTTAGTACCTTATTTCATTCATTCATCTTAGTAACTGCTTTGTCCTGGTCAGGTTGGATCTAGAGTCTATCCTGGGAGCACTGGATGCAAGGTGGGAGCACTCCCTTAATGGAACGCCAGCCCATTACAGGGCACCATGCACACACACACACACACACACACACACATACACATTCACATTTAGGGGCAAATTAGAGAAACCAGCACAAGAGTATTGGAATGTGAAAATTAAACAAGGGTAAAAACTCACACAGAAACACATTCAAACTCACTTTAATTTAAAGTCATACAAAATATTAAATATACATCTCCCTGTCATTATGGCATTATGTCATTGCTATAGGTTTTCATATAAATCTTAGAAATAGTAAAATTTAATTCACTCCAGGTGTTATATCAACTCTTTAGAACAGCTGCTACCTGTTGGAATAAGCCTTTATAAATATTTATATAGGTCTTTGTCTATATAATCAAGGGTTTATGTAGGAATTATGCCTACATTATATGCCATTCAAAATCATAGACTTTATCTAGGTCATGTAAGAGTTTCATTTTAATAACTCTGATTGATTTGGCACAAAAGCCACATACTATAGCTCTAAGCCGCACTGTATGAAGTTTAATATTATGTGTTTTGGGATTTGGGGCTCAACATTAAATCAGGATGACGAATGAAAGGTGCATGGAGCAATGCGCCATTCCTGTTGCAAAGTGGCACATAAATCCCTTAATCTGTCCTCCAATCACAAAACTTTCCGTAACCAGTGAGGAAAATTAGTTTTCATTGGTCCCCCATCTGTTTTCTCAAATGTTTATGCTCAAGCACAGCTTATTTCTCTCACTACAGCACTGAAATCACAAACAGGTCAGTCAAATTACATGCAGCTGATTTAGCTTGTGATTTCGAAACAGTAAATAATTTCTGAGCTGGTTTGGAACAGCAACAGGTTACAAAACACTGATTTAACAGAAGATTGCATGGATTGACTCGTAAAAAACTTCTCCCTTCGTTAGGCATGACGTTAGCTAGTTGATTTACCAGTGTAAGCTAACATTACCTGGCTGGCTACTGTAGTATAAATTCAATCCTCTGCCACATGAGTCAACTGATGAATATTAATGATTGGTAGGTGATCTCAGTCAAAACAATCCGTGAGGTTTCCATTTCACTGCAGGTTATATACTGTATATAATTGTGTATGTGACAAATAAAATCTTGAAATCTTGAGTCACTCTATAACTATGTATTAAAAATATATAGGCATGATTTTTGTGGGTAAAAATGACTTGAAATGTGTTTTACACACTCTTTAAAAGGTAATAGGACCATGTAATTAAAATTCTGTCCTTGTTTCCAGGTGGGTTTGATTATTTTTCTGCTCTGACACACTCAGTAAATCTGGTAATTAACTGGTGAGGTGAACCAGTATTAGTCAACAGTGACACTTTAATCACAGAAATACAGTAAGTTTGTCTTGGCACAAAAATGAAAAACATTTTTCACAGAGTTTGTTTGATTAACCCACAATCATGCTGCTGGTTTACTTTGATTTTCACACCTTCTTTGTTTTTGTTTGGTGTACGGTGGTGGTCCAGGACCTTCCTAATTATCACCACACACAGCATGGGTTCCCCATTCACGCTGGCTGACATTTTGATTCAGAAGCAGGAAAGGGAAAGCAATCAGCAACCAGCCTGGAGCATCCAGCAGTGATCGCCATCCATTTGTGACATGTTTGTGTCGCTTCCCCACACTACCATCATGATGCAGGAGCCGCTGTTCTGTCAGAAGTGAGCCTCTGCCTTTGCATGCTTCACTGGGTTCTGAAGCATCCTTAAGGACGCAGCCACACAGCAGGCCACTGCTCCTTGTGTGTGCATAGCCTTTAAAAATGTCTGCAAAACAGCAAATTAAACAGAGAGCAAGTTAGAATAAGTAAGAATAAGCAATGTTGTTCACACATTTGCAACGAATCGCCACTGCCACTAAGCAGAAGATTAAACTTTGAAATTTGGCTTTTTTAGAGAATGCATGCCTGCTATAATAACTCCCCTGGGACGACTTAACAAATATTTCTTATTTTTTCTAGCAAGAGAGTTAATTTTGTCTCACTTTGACCGTAAAAGCCTTTTAAAGTGAATGGCTATATAAGCTTGAGGTAATGCAGATGTCATTATTGCCATGATAGTGAAGGTTACGCAATTTGTAATTGTGTAAGAAACAGAAACTGATATGCTTAGTGATTATGGTTAATAATAATTTGTTGGTTGATGTTGTATTTTCGTTATTCCCATGGTTATGTGCCATGTTGCCATCACAGTGGGACATTGTTAGTGCAATTACAATGCTCTTTAATGCCATTTCCTCCTCAAAACAGAAGAGCAAGAGCTTCTGTTCTCACGTTAGACTCAAAGTTCCAGAATGTAATGCTGCTGTACGGGTTACGGCAGAGATTCACCTCAACTAATCTCATTTGTTTGAGTAGAGTGTACAGATGAGGAGGCGTGAGAGCTGGACAGTCTAAAGGACTAAAGCACTGCTGCATCAGCAGGTAGAATGGCATTATGGGTAATGTAGGAAATCAAAGTAAAAAAATCAGTGAAATGATTTTAAACTAGAAAAGTGAACTTTCATTGCAAAGTGTATTTTGGATTCCATTGAAGATGATGTGTTAATTGTAAACATTAATATGCATATGCAAGTGGGTCAGACTGGATTTTTCATTGAAGTCCTCATTAAAATTAACAGTGGCTGCTTTTAGTGTATATTTTTATGCTCCCTGAACAAACACATTGTTTGAGTTTGAAGAATGCACTGGAGCACGAGTGGTGAATAATCAAAGGTTATTAGGTCCGTCCTTCATTTATGGAAGGTGATAAGCTTTATGCCACACTCTGATTCTGGAGATTGCCATAAAAATAACTTGCATCCCATTAGATACAGTGTCTCATACAAGCCTGAGTGATGATGCTGACGGCAGGAAAGCAGAATGCTGTTTCTGTGTTGTTCAATATCACAGGCTGGTTGAGAGAAAGATGCATCATCTGATATTACTATACTGTCTAAGTGAAGCGAGGATGAATTCATAGCTCTCTTCCTCTCTAGCTCAGCAGATATGACATGAATGACAAGCCCTGGTGTCCTTCAACTATAATAATAAGTGAATATAGCATATTTTAATATCGTTATATATGTTTAGCTCTTATATACACAATTTCACACAATATATTAAACAATGAATTGGTAAATCATATAAAAATAAGGTTTTACATGTGCTTTTCTATTACGTTGCATGTCCTCCAGCCTGCCTAACCACTTAAACTACTAAAAATAAAACTCTTAATGTTTTTTTTTATTCTTATAATATTTTATGTGTTCTGAGTCATACCTGTGTAGAACACATAATTTGTTCATTCTGAATAATGTGCCTGTATTTGGTTACAGCCCTAGTTTAATATGGTGTGGTCTCTGGGACTAAAGGGGTCTTCTGTATTTCCCATGAAGTACTGCATCAGAATGACAGTTTTGTCACTGAGTAACAATGAGTAAGTTGGTTTTCTTAATTACATAAACAGCAATGTTAGCTATGCTATCAGTAATATGTATTTAGCCCTCTGGTTTGCTCTGTCAGGCTTAGCTGAGTGATTTATGTACAGAACAATCTCATACAAAATGCTAATTAGCTCATTAACTAGCAAGCTATCTGTTAGAGACTAATCAGGTTGCAATAACACCAAGTCTGTCATACTCTCACTTTTTTTTTGAGACTTTGTCACAATATCTACATACGCTGTCCTAAATGATTTGTTCTTTAAACATTTTTTTTAATGAAATTATAAGACATCTTGCAAAAGCACTTTCTATCAAATGGTAGCATAGTATGCTTGACAGCCGCCTGCCAAAACAGCTGCTTTATAGTGAACTACAACAGGGCAAGCACACAGTTGGAGGGCAGAAGAAGCGGTTCAGAGACTGCCTGAAGACCCCTTCAAAGACTTTGACATTGATACTACCAGTTGGGAGACAATTGTTCTCAACCGCCTAACCAGCAGCAAGATCACTAAAGGTGCTCGTGCAGCAGAAGCCAGACGAT